GATCTTCGACACCAAAAACCCCCAAATACCAATTTTGAATAGAATCGGATCATAATTACACAACTCTGCCATAATGTATTTGTCAATTTGTCATAATTACTTTTCTAATTTTGACAAAAGAATTATAATCTCCGATATCGGAAACCCCCAGATACCAATTTTGGAAATAATCGGATCATAAGTACAAAACTCGTCCGCCACATTGGATCCGCCATCTTTATTTTTTTAATTTTGACATAAGAATAATATATCCGATACCGAAAACCCCCAAATACCAATTTTGAATAGAATAGGATTATAATTACAAAACTCTACCATATTGGATCCGTTATCTTTATTTTTCTGATTTTGACAAAAGAATCATATTCTCTGATACCGAAAACCCCCAGATATCAATTTTGAAAATAATCGGATCATGTACAAAACTCGTTCGCCATATTGGATCCGCCATCTTCAATTTCCTAATTTTGTCAAAAGAATCATGATCTTCGACACCAAAAACCCCCAAATACCAATTTTGAATGGAATCGGATCATAATTACACAACTCTGCCATAATGTATTTGTCAATTTGTCATAATTACTTTTCTAATTTTGACAAAAGAATTATAATCTCCGATATCGGAAACCCCCAGATACCAATTTTGGAAATAATCGGATCATAAGTACAAAACGCGTCCGCCACATTGGATCCGCCATCTTTATTTTTTTAATTTTGACATAAGAATAATATATCCGATACCGAAAACCCCCAAATACCAATTTTGAATAGAATAGGATTATAATTACAAAACTCTACCATATTGGATCCGTTATCTTTATTTTTCTGATTTTGACAAAAGAATCATATTCTCTGATACCGAAAACCCCCAGATATCAATTTTGAAAATAATCGGATCATGTACAAAACTCGTTCGCCATATTGGATCCGCCATCTTCAATTTCCTAATTTTGTCAAAAGAATCATGATCTTCGACACCAAAAACCCCCAAATACCAATTTTGAATAGAATCGGATCATAATTACACAACTCTGCCATAATGTATTTGTCAATTTGTCATAATTACTTTTCTAATTTTGACAAAAGAATTATAATCTCCGATATCGGAAACCCCCAGATACCAATTTTGGAAATAATCGGATCATAAGTACAAAACTCGTCCGCCACATTGGATCCGCCATCTTTATTTTTTTAATTTTGACATAAGAATAATATATCCGATACCGAAAACCCCCAAATACCAATTTTGAATAGAATAGGATTATAATTACAAAACTCTACCATATTGGATCCGTTATCTTTATTTTTCTGATTTTGACAAAAGAATCATATTCTCTGATACCGAAAACCCCCAGATATCAATTTTGAAAATAATCGGATCATGTACAAAACTCGTTCGCCATATTGGATCCGCCATCTTCAATTTCCTAATTTTGTCAAAAGAATCATGATCTTCGACACCAAAAACCCCCAAATACCAATTTTGAATAGAATCGGATCATAATTACACAACTCTGCCATAATGTATTTGTCAATTTGTCATAATTACTTTTCTAATTTTGACAAAAGAATTATAATCTCCGATATCGGAAACCCCCAGATACCAATTTTGGAAATAATCGGATCATAAGTACAAAACTCGTCCGCCACATTGGATCCGCCATCTTTATTTTTTTAATTTTGACATAAGAATAATATATCCGATACCGAAAACCCCCAAATACCAATTTTGAATAGAATAGGATTATAATTACAAAACTCTACCATATTGGATCAGTCATCTTTATTTTTCTGATTTTGACAAAAGAATCATATTCTCCGATTCCGAAAACCCCCAGATACCAATTTTGAAAATAATCGGATCATAAGTACAAAACTCGTCCGCCATATTGGATCCGCCATCTTAATTTTTTTAATTTTGACATAAGAATAATATATCCGATACCGAAAACCCCCAAATACAAATTTTGAATAGAATCGGATCATAATTAAAAAACTCGTTCGCCTTATTGGATTCGCCATCTTGAGTTTCCAATTTTAGAAATAGTTTACGATCGATTATCAGACCTACCAAAGATGCACAAAAATTTTCATAAGAATCGGTCAAGCCGTTTCGGAGGAGTTTGGCCACATACACTGTGACGGAGAATTAATATGTTAGATATAAACTATCGTATGACTTTCATTCTATGGTGAGGTCAAAGATTACAGGATGGGAATACTAGGTGGTGAATATAATAATGTGAAATATATCATTCCACTTTTGAATTACTACTACTAATTTGGCGACGTACTCTGATAAAATACTGGCAACACTGTAGGTGACTTTGTACCTGTTCCCTTAGTACAGCCACAAATATTATTCAGCGACATCTGTTGATGAGGTTCCCTATTGATTGAATCAAATGAATCTAAAGGATTCTGTAGAAATAATACATGAAATTATAATTATGGCGCCACTAGACGGCTGTGATATATTTATAGTTTCGCTGGTGTCTGTGGGCGAACTATTTCTCTGTGATGCGCGCCCTTAATGTTTGTTTACTTTTAGGTGCCTTCAAGATTTCCAGCCCATCACCTGTAGATGCTACATAGAATGGATGAAATATTGAGATGAATACTATTTACTATTGTATTTTTAACTGAATAAAAGGGTATTATACAGAGTGAGCGCCATGAGCCTATCATTGTGAGGATACCATCCCATTAACTAATTACAATAAAGATCAACATTAATGGGCTGGTATCTTTATGCTGGTAAGTTTTATATTTATTTATAAATTTTAGACTATACAGGGTGTTATTTAAGTACGTGGCCAAACTTGTAGGGGTGATTCTTTGAGTGATTCTAAGACGAAAAGTTCATATAAACATAGGTCTGGTAATGCTTCGTTTTCAAGATACAGGGTGTCAAAATTTTTAAAAGAAATCGTTTTTTTCGTAAATATCTTAATAACCCTTCAACTGATTTCATTAAAATTTGGCAGTGTTATTCAAGGTCGTAAAGGGCTAATTTAACCATAACTATATCAAAATTATCATGTCCAGTGGCGTCCCGGAAGGCACTGTAACCAATATTTTTGACAGAAAAAATGTTCGCCACTGATTTTTTTGCAATTTCTGTATTTGTTTCACATTGAGCAACTAAAATTACAACTTTTTCATATCTAGAATTTTTTTCGTATCTTGCTTTGTTTTTGAGAAAAAACATAAAAATCACTTCATTGCACATCCCTGTGACAACACAATAAAACATTTCAACTACCAAACCATCAAAAACTGGGGACTTACTAATATTTTTGATATAGTTAGGGTTGAATTAGCCCTTTACGACCTTGAATAACACTGCCAAATTTCAATAAAATCGGTTGAAGGCTTATTAAGATATTTACGAAAAAAGCGATTCCTTTTAAAAATTTTGACACCCTGTATCTTGAAAACGAAACATTACCGGACCTATGTTTATATGAACTTTTCGTCTTAGAATCACCCAAAGAATCACCCCTTCAAGTTTGGCCACGTACTTAAATAACACCCTGTATATACCCTGTAAAATGAAAATGGTCAATTTTCATGTTACACCCTATAATGTTCGAGCATTTGAGCCGTGACCAGAGTTAAAGAGAGTTGCAGCGCGAAATTGTCTTTGACTATCTCGAATAACGCTCTCGCTAGTCTAGTTACCACCGTCATTGTTATTTTATTTTTAATATTTTGAGCGCACGAAAGGAAATCCCTATAATGCTAGAGCATTCGAGCCGTGGCCAGAGTTAGAGAGAACTGCAGCGCGAAATCTTTGTCTTTGACTATCTCGAATAGTGCCCTCGCAGGTCTCGTTACTGTCTACAAATCACGAATATTAAATGTCAATCAACTTCATATTTGAATTCGATTAAGAATATTATATACTGGGTGTCCCATTCAACGAAATTACTTTTTGACATAACTCGAGAACGCGATGTTAGATTTTTGTTTCGTTTTTATCATCGTAATCAGCGGAAAAATACTATATATTCGACATTCAACTGACATTGTAGCTCCAATAATAACCAAGTTAGCAATAGTGCCGACTTTTTTTATCTCTTGGAGCGCACGATAGGATATTCCTATAATGTTCGAAGAAAATCTTGCGTACCAAGGAAGGATAGCGAGAGGAGATAGGTATCGGATTTTTAGTTTCAACTTTTGGAGGTCATAAGTTCTTGGGAATACTTCCTTTCGCAAAGAAATCCAAAGCTTTGCCGTTCTACAAACGAACGAGTGTTGGTTAAGTGTTGTTCGACATATTTCAAGGTTGACAACGAAAGGATGTGCTGACTGTGCATGTCGAGTTCGTCTGACTAATATTGCTAATGATGGAATGATAGCAGTGATTTTTTAAGAACATTTCCCGTGGAAGTATCTATAGAAAAGTAAAAGGACACCGACTTTTCTACTGTTCTAATGAGGTCAAAGAACTAGTGAGTGTGGCATCATCCAACAGGCGAATGGCTCTTTTAAGTATGAAAACCCTGTACAAGGGTTCTGACAACGCAATTGTTGATTCACATTTCTGGTAATGCTTTCTGCATAAACACACAGAGTGAAAACAACGTCTCTGGGTATTACCCAATTTTGAATATTTCATTGAATGAATTGAACATATTTCTTTGACTATTTCACTCATCATATAATCTGACCAATCACAAGCCAGAGACAATGTGTGCTTATCGCGAAAACATTAGTTGCCTTTCAATTCTGATCGTTTTTACAGCGTTGTTGTTTCCAACAATGTAACCATGAATAGCGAAGCAAAGTCTGGATGTAACCACGAATATCGAAGCAAAGTCTATGAGTTTGGCAAAAAATAATTATGGCTGTACTTATCAGACTGAATCACTCATTTATAATAAATGCTCTTTTTGATTCGTGAACATGAAATTATATGAAATTATGAATTTATAACACAATATTCAGAACTTATAAATATTAATTTCCTAGAAAAACTTTTCATAGCTTACCTGCATGATGAATATTGTATCAGACACCAAAGATGTGACTCTTATTTGTGCGCGACTGATATTCGCTTCCAACAAAATTATGACTTTGCTGACATGAGATGTGAAATCAAGATCTATATCGTACTCGTTGTATTCCCTCAGCCTATCCAACTCATGTATCTCTTCCTTTCTAACCTAAAAATCATCAAAGCATAAAACTAAAATTGAACCAGCTAATGATAATGCTCGTAAGTACTTGAATCTGGGCGAATTCTGAAGCTTCACAGATGAGTTGAATGAGCTCTGCCTCGGAAATGTGCCTGTGAAATCGTTCGTAAAACAACTCCATCGTTCTGTAAGAAATATAATAAAAGCTGGCTATCCTGCCAAAATTCGTCGGCCGCAATTCACCTAGAGATGTATCGAATCTTATCATTTGAGATTTTTCGAGAGTTTTGGCAGCAGTGTCCAGTTGGAATTGTAGAAACTGATTGAATTGGTTTGTATCCTGCAAAAAACTCAATTATGAACATTCACAAAAAAAATTTCTGCTAGGAACAGTCGAATGCCACAATACCTTATTTTTTCATCATGTGAACAGACAAATATTAATCAGAGATCATATTGCACGTCTCTCAGATTGATTCGATCAATTTTTCCAAAAACAAAAAATCCGAATATAAATCCAAACTTATTTGATAAAGTCATAGAAATTTGAGCCTCAACCTCAAATATGATCGAGCAAACATAAAAATTCGTCAGAAGAATGAATTGTATTCGGGAAGATCTATTCGTACTATTTTGTAACAACGCATTACTTTGTTGGTGTTCAATTTAATTCCGAGGATGAATTATCCAACAGTGAATATAATAATTAGATTCGCTAGCAGAACTGGTGTACCAATGCTTCATTAAGTTCGAACCATGAGGGTTTTATGAAGAATAATAGTACCTATTTCAACCGGACTCAAATTATGCACTCATCTTTGAATAATGATACATGATAAATAAAGACAAACATTTCGTGCGGCGTTTTTCAGTGATCACGACCTATTTTTGAATCCACAGAAAACAAAAATTATTCGATTTCATAACTATCAGAATAAAATTGATTCCTTATAAGTGAATAGAAATGATACAACATTATTAAGTACCAATAAATTTGTTAAATTCTTGGGCTTGCATGTAGATGAACATCTAAATTGGCATGCACATTGTGGACTTTTGATTTCTAAATTGAATTCTGTTCAGTATATGATCAGGAACTTAAAAACTGTTTTAGACAAAACACAACTTTGTAGTATATACTATGCAGAGGTTGAATCCAGATTGATATACGGCATCTGTTTGTGGGGCAACTCAACCTCAGCCAAAAATGTCTTTATCAAACAAAAATATATTTTACGTTGCACTTTTAGTACTTCCAAAATGTCCTGTAGAATTATCTTTACTCCTCATGGAATTTTAACCCTTGCTAGTTTATATATCTATGAACTAGCAGTTTATATTTACAAAATAGGAACGATTTCTCAAAGGATTTGCACAATATCAATTGGTACTCGTAGAAAAATGAAATTCACAACCTTGCTGCCAGGTTCAAAATAACACAGAATTCTCCGAATTATATAGGCCCCAGAATATTTGATCATCTACCACAGGATATCAAAACACCTCGTGATATTAAACAATTCAAATTTGGTTTGAAATCGTTTCTGGTAGAACATTGTTTTTACTCCATTGATGAATTTTATTCAGTCAGAACTGTCCAGCATACTGGATAGCTTTTATTTCACTATTTCCATATGACTTATTACTTTGTATTGTTCTTCTAGACTGACTATTCCTATACAAAATGTACTTTTGTCGTTCAAAGGAAAATAAATGAAAAAAAAAATAATTCACATACAAATCTTCATCTGAAATAGACCCACCCGTGCAAATGCCGATAAATCCAAATTTCGACCTGATGCCGATAAATACTTTGAATAGTATAACTAGTACTATCTGTGTTATTTATTGAATTTTTCTGACTAATACATGGCTGGGTTCTGACTATTCATTTTATTTTACGAAACGGTTCAATATTTTTGTTATTACGAACTCGAGATGACTCTGACTAGAATGCAAGGATCGCACGTTCATGATTCTTGGAATGGATGAAATTAAGTCGTATTTCTGTCAGTTTCTGGCGCGATAGGTACCATATTACTCCGTTTGTGGTTAATATGATTACTACTGTTTTGATATGGAGGCAGAACAAGCTAGGATGGTGTATCAGAAGTAGAAAAAGAAAGTGAGGAGAGTCAAGAAGGCAATACAAAGAAGAAACAAAGGTAATCAATATGAAAAATAATGAAATTGGGAAGTACCTATTCATTTTTTACTTGTTATTACAGATATCATGGTGATAATCCTGATTTGAATCACTTCAGGAGGATTTGCAATCATAAAGAGCCTAGGTAGCTGTGAAAGGATTCTGTTTCATTATATCCATGAGATCAGAATTAAAATATTTCAGGAGGATATGAAAACTGAAAACTGAGCAAGATATTGAACTGTGCCATATCATTTCCTAGTAATATGGTTGTTCAAAAAATTACAGCAGAGCATTTCTGACAAAAATAAGAAAAATGATTTTGTAAAAACTTCAAAAAATGATTTTGAGCAAAAACCGATAAATCCAATAGGAAAATATATTTTTCTTCAAAATGAATAATATTGCGATCTCAATATTTGGAGTTTACGGTTGATGACCAACAAGTACCCGAATTCAGTTGAAATAATATTCGAATAATCTTGGGATCTCCCTATTAAAGATTTCATCAATCACCGAAAGCTGATTCATCAGTTTTTGCATTTTTGCTTCTCAACTGATGATGTAAAATGGTTGAATTCGGGATGTTACATCAGTATACCTTTCATTGTCATGGATATGAGAAAAAATAATCATATATAATAACACAAGTGATAATATTTTGCCGGAAATATTCGGTGATTGTTACGACAGCTTGTTGCCTAGTAATTTCGTGAATGACATTGTTATCAAAACTACGAGCCGTAGGCGAGTAGTTTTGGATCAATGCCATGAGCGAAATTAGAGCAGCAAGCTGGAGTATGTCAATCGACGAATATTTCCAGGAAAAATAGTATCACGAGTTGTATTCGTATGACTATTTCATGATTGAATGAGACAATATATATAAGAAATAGGAAACATAATTTAAGTATATTCCAACTCGAACTGCGAAGAAGAACATAATGATAGTAATGAAATACAGAATTTACTCTTTTAGAAATTAACTACCTACTTATAGTTATTCACTTGGAATGTACAATTTTGATAAACAGTATTTTTTTTATCATCTTGGAGATGGTTGCTTTCAGAAGAGTGTATACAATTAATATCCAATTCAAATAAAATAAATTGAATTTATGTGACATGGAATAATTAAAAAAAAAAGATATCGTCGTCGAGGGCTCGAACCATCGACCTTCGTATCCTCGCGCAACAACCCTAACAGTTGCGCTACATCAGCTAGTAATTAAATCAGTCAGTCACAATAACTTGAGTAATTGAAGAAGATTACTTCAAAAAGGAATTTAAATTCTATTATTGTTGTGTCAGACCGTCAACAAATAGGCAAACTTTTCAAATTACACATGAAACGTCCAGTCAGAATATAATTGTCTCGCCTTTCGTACAAAATATCTCACTAACGCAAATTATAAGTAAATAAAATAAAGTAGGAACTTAGGTTATTGTCTCAGATATGAATCCAAAGCAATCTTGACCAGACACGATGTCAAAATTTTATCGCTGATAAACGAGGTTAGTTGGTCACGTGTGGGTCAATTCGGCTTCTGTATTGGTAGAGCAAGTCCGATAAAATTTAATAAACAAAAAATATCGCTAGAATACAGAAGAAACCATGAAAATGGTCGATTCTGATTGGTTCTCGAGATCAAGAGTGGAATAGTCAACTTGAAACATTTGTTAGTATACTTCATTTTGACGTTACATGCTAAGCCCCCCGAGGAATCACCATTATGACAAAAATTATCGGTCGTGACATTCGAGTTACTAAATTTTAAATTGTGATTACTCAAGTAAGATAAATACCCATATTTCGTTATAGGTGAGACCATACACAAGAGGATTTTTCTTAATACGGACGAACAAAAATGTATTCGCCAACCATTCCATCGCTTCTTTGGTATTCGAGACTGTACCAAGAACAATCTGAAAGAGATAATTATAATTTCGTATACACTAAGCAATGAAAATACAACGAGTTATCACCTCTGCATTCAAATTATCAGGAACGCAGTTCAAAAACTGACTCTCTATCGGCATCTGCGACAACATGAGCCCCATGTATTTGGACATATTCGGCATATTCGTTATTATGATGCCATGACCTGAGGTATCGTACTGCGGTCTTCCTGCTCTTCCGAATATCTGCTGCACGTCCAACATGTCCATGTCGACGAAAGTAGATTTGGCAGCATCATAATGTAGTGTGCCCTATGAAAATGCAAGGATTGTTAATCAACAGGATAGTTCATTCCCTAGACCTCAATATACGGCTCAGATTTGCCGTGCTGATTGATGCAAGTCAATGTAAATAAGTTAATGATAGATATTGACAGATCGCTGTCTTTATTATAATCATGTTATTTGACGTTAGATCTTCGTATATTAAAATGATAAATAGAATTTCAAATCTCAATATTTCTTGATTTTTAAAATGTGGGAAGGTAGTGGACGATGTTGAGCTATTTTTATTGGAAGAAATATTTCAATAAAGCTTTCAATTAAATTATTTTTCAGTAGTTTTCTGACTTGTTCCAAGGTCTCAAATTGCAATCGAAGTCACAGTATCATTCAAACGGTAGGAATGTGCCACTCATAACTACTGACGTCAGGACTCAGTGAGAAAAACACATAGTTGCCAGATATCAAGATAAATCTGTAAATATCAGAAATTGTCTGGCTATAAACATTCATAAATCATGGTTTATTGTTCTTTCAAGTAGGCCAGGTAGCCGCGTGGTAGAAGCGTTAGTAGTCTAATCGCGATGGCTTGCCGGTCGTGGGTTCAAATCCAAACGACTGCAGACATTTTTCTGATGTCCCAAGGAAGTGTTTGGGGTCACACGTAAGGTAAGGCCCCGTCATTCCTTACTCGCACAAGTCTCTTGAAGACTTCTGAGGGTTGCTCGTAAAGGGGCAACCGAATGACGGATAGAATGATAGATACATCCACCATCTTGAGTGCAAGGAATGCAATGATTCGAAATTACTATGTAGTAGATGATTAGTTGATTGGTAATTCACTGTTGATCACATTCAATTCACTCTGAATTCCAAAGTATTCCATTAGTTTCAAGATTAGCTTGAATAAAATGTAATGCAGGTATCTAACAGTAAGACGCTTTCTATATACTTAGTTTGGTTATAGTTTTTTTTTATCGCTTGGAGCGCACGAAAATTTAATTGCTAATGTGACAACTATGTCTACAAGAGAAAGAGATGAAGCAACTGGTGCTAACAAAATGTTGCCAAGTTAAAAATACCTTATTCCCCGCATAACTTCACTGTTCTAATTTCTCAATATTATCGACAAGATGGCAGTGATGCTTGTACTAGAATCAGTAGGAATATAACCAAGTAAGCAAGAAAAATGATCAAATATCAAATCTCTAATTTGTTTAAGGCAACCTGTGCAAAAATTCATCGGAGTTTATGTAACGAACCCCTAGTCTTCTTCTCCGATGAACATATTTTGTAGAATTTCATTACTCCTCAGCTGAGATGGTTATAATTGATGAAAAGCCAGGCTTTCAATATTTTGCCAGACTAACTCTCGATTTTAACAATTGAATACTGTCTGTAGGTTAATCGAGGAAGTGGTACATTCATTTTACTTCTTTTTTTTTATAGAAAAATTTGTTAAACGCAGTGAAATTTTGGGTCAAATCATCTGATTTGTCCCACTACAAATATATTGAAATAATACGCATATTTCTATTGTATAGAAACGAGGAGAGAAAATCCCAAAAAATCAAGTAAAATGAATGAACAATTGAATTTGAGATCAAAGCGTGGGGTTCCCATAGTCGATCATAGCGAAGGATGGAAAATCTCAAAATGCGTTTCGAATATTAGCCAACTTCAAATGTTCGTGTTATTCCATGAGTATTTTTGCAAAAAAAAACTGTAGAGGTCGAGTTTGGTCGGAAAGTTGTACCCTAGTCCGTTAACAGGGAGGCGTCAACCCACTGTGTTCATTATTACGTACTTCAAGATTTTCTGCCAGCAAATGTGCATGCGCCCGAAATAAGTACTCAGATATGAGAATTCTTTGAGTTGCAGCTTCTCGTCAACTTTCGTCGCTACAAATGGAAATACATGATTTAATATCATCTCGACTCGACATTTGTCACGAGTAGTTTTCGTCTTACTAGTAATTTTGCCGAAATTTCAAATTGAAATATTATAAATCAGTGTCAGTGGTATGGATCTAAATTCTTTGTCATATTTAATCGGATGATAATTCATAAGAACAATGGACGTTTATCAGGCAGGTATAGATATTTAGTTGAGTGAGTATATTGTACTATTACCTATCATAGATTGAAGTTGCTGCAATGTGTGCGGATCATATAATAATCCGATTTGAATTTCTTCACTGCACTTTCTTATCATACAAGGTATTTTTTCAGAAGCTGTGATCTGAATAATGCATTGAATTCATGATAACAGTGGAAAAACTTAGATGCATGTAGCTCAGTAAAACGGCAACGATGAAGATCCTCCCGTTGAAAAATTTCAAGTAGTCCGCGTCTCTACAGTTCCATATGTTTAGGGGTGCTGAATCCGAAACTGAAGTTTGCAAACGAAATTTCCTGAAGCGTTCCGAAATATTGGCAAAAAACAGCGAAATTTTTTAACTTTCATTGTCCTTAACTCGAAAACTTTACATTTTATCGAAAAGACCAACCTAAATTGAACATGATAAAATTTCCTATACAGGGTGTTTCCTAACTACGGTTCCTAACTGCAGGTGGTGATTCGTTAGGTCATTTTAGGAAGAAAAGTTCCTATTAACATATGTCCGGAGTTGCTTCGTTTCTGAGATACAGGGCGATGAAATTGAAGAAAAAAAGTACCAAATTTCAACCAAATCGGTTAAAGGATATTCATGATATTTTATAATTACCGTTTTTTTTTTCTTCAAGTTCAACGCCCTGTATCTCAGAAACGAAGCAACTCCGGACATATGTTCATAGGAACTTTTTTTCTTAGAATGACCTAACAAATCACCCCCTGCAGTTAGAAACCGTAGTTAGGAAACACACTGTATATAATTGTCCTTGTTCATGAATGTGGGACTAACGGGAGAGGAGCTAGAGCAAGTTGAAAATGTACAAAATTTGCGTACTTTGCAAGAAATAGCCTTCTTCGTCAGTTTTTCGCGAATAATTCATATCATACGCATTACTCAGAAGAACGCATCAGCAAAAATTGAAAGATCATCAAGTTTCCTGTAGAGCTCAAGTAAAGTTATCTAATATGCGAGAAGGTGAACGGCTGTTAGAGCGCTCGGACTTGGACACGTATCTGGGTCGTCGTTACCCCACTCAACTTCATCCTTTTCACTTGTTCGATTCATTTTGATTGCCTATATTCATTTCATAAAAGCTCTAAAACGTATGAATAGATCATAGTTTTTTTTGTGTTGAAATAATTCTAAACGATATAGGTATTCTTTGAACCTACTTTGAACAGTTGAGCGTCTTCAGGCCTATATTTTTCCTTGCCCGAATAAAGCAGACGTCGTGTCACACCCGGTTAAAGCATGCGCGAAAAATATGTGGTCAATCAAGTGATTATTGAGGGTGGTGCTTGGATGAATTGAGAGAGGACTAGAAGGTCGACATCCTTGCCTATGACAGTTACCTTATCTTTCTCTTCTGAAAATGTTGTAAAATTGTTCTATCCGTCATTCGGTTGCCCCCTTACGAGTAACCCTCAGAAGTTTTCGAGAGTCTTGTGCGAGCAAGGAATGACGGGGGCCTTACCTTTGAACGTGTGAACCCAAAGACTTTCTTGGGCCATCAGAAAAATGTCTGCAGTCGCTGGGAATTGAACCCACGACCGGCAAGCGAATGAGGATTAAAATACTGACACTCTGTCCGCACGGCTACCTGGCTGTCAATTTAATTGCAGTTGTGACCGAGTTATGGGCGAAAAACCGAAGAAAGTGCGAAAATTTCGCTGTTTCTTGCGAATATCTAGTAACGCTCTATGAAATTGCTTCAGATTCGGATTCATCACCGCAGAAAACATATGTAACCGAAGAGAAACCGACTATTTGAGTTTTTTCCACGTGTAAATATCATTTTATTGGACTAATGGAAAATGTCTCAGTTACCAAAAGTCAAACTCACCCTTATAATAACAGCGTGAGCTGGCAGATTTACACCCCATGCCAAAGTAGTTGTACATACTATGACTTTCAGTTCACCAACGCGAAATAATCTTTCCACTTCTAATCTGTCTGACCTCACCATACCTGTAAGAGGAAAATACGTAGTATATACAGGGTGTTCAATTATGTTGCACGAAACTTTGAAATCATATTATTTGGGTCACAATGAAAAAATCATGAGTTATTTTCTTTATTTTCAAAATTTCAAAAATAAGTTTTCTACACGGTAATTCAGTTTCAGAAATCTCTCCTGTCACTGTTGCCGAAAACGTTCGAGATTTGATTTTAAGGATTATTACTTTTGTGTACTACAACCTTTGGCAGATTGTCTTATAAAGTGTATCCCGCTTTTCATAAATACATCCCGATATCTCAGTTATATTTTTATGAAAACTCACATATTTGATCAGATACAATTGCCGGAAAGTGAAAATGGAATATTCAGGGTGTCTGGACTAACCAGCCATAGCCTAATGGCAAGTAAAGGAAGTCGAGGTGAGTTGATATATATGTGAAAAAATATATTTTGTCTATTCGTTACAGAAATAGAGGACATTATTTGAATTCGGGGCGAATCTTCGAAAAAAGATATTTTATTTTAAGACAGCAAACAAAACTGTATTAGGTTCGTCATATACATTAATAGTAATGAATGAATGAATAAATGATGTAGGATGAATGAATAAAAATTACAAAAAAATCTGGAAATATTAATAATGATAAATGAATGAATAAATGATGATTGATGAACGAATGAAAACTAAAAAAAAATATGGATACAATTGAAAAGTGAAAAATTGAAGGTATCTAAAGAAATAGATGCGTATCTCCTAGAATTCACCAGCAACTTGCCCCTACTGGCACTCCACAAAATGGCCTGCTATGGAAAAAAATCCAGAGCCGGACTTACAAAGCTCATTTTCTTTTTAAATGTCACAATTCTGACATTCTGGATCGTATTTTTCAAAAACTTCCATCAGAATCAAAAAGATTAGGAAAAACACTACAAGTGTAGCTTTTTAATTTGTTCGGCACACTTCGACGAAATCGTTAAAAAAATATCAAACAAAATACTGATGCATGTTTGTTTCCATGATTTCGTACGGGCATATTGTATTTACATTGTTCAACAGATTTATTTAAATCCATTTCTTGCATATCGGTGTATCTTAAGAGTTGGGAAGAGGCTCTATTCGACAAAAAAACCTAGGACTCAACTTGCTTTCCTGGAAGAGACCTTTCAAAACATGAACATAAATAATTTCAATTTGAAATCAACAGATTTATTTAAATCCATTTCTTGCATATCGGTGTATCTTAAGAGTTGGGAAGAGGCTCTATTCGATAAAAAAACCTACGACTCAACTTGCTTTTCTGGAAGAGACCTTTCAAAACATGAACATAAATAATTTCAAATTGAAATCTCCTTCTACATGTGGAAATGTGGAAACATTGTAGTCAATATAAAGAATTATTGCTTGGGTAAAAGATTTTTTTCCGAATCAGGTATACGTGCCACCTTATAGATAGTAACTAGAGAAACTTTGGAACAAATATTGAATATGATTTCAAAGCATGTGAACTCAGAATTCAGAAAACACTAAAACCTAAGGCTGTGATGAATGTAAGAAAATACAATTGAAGAGGTAATTTCTATCAGCAGGATGAAGCACCTTCACATTTCTCGATCCAAGTGAGAGAATACCTAGACACTCAATTCTCTAGTCGCTGGATAGGTCGTGGCGGCCTTCATTCTTGGCCTCCTAGGTCTCCTAATCTCACAGTATTAGACTTTTATCTCTGGAGACATATGAAACGTTGGTCTATCAGACTGAAGTCAACACCAGAGAGGAACTGAGGGAGATGGTAGTTACAGATTCAGATATGATCAGAAATAATAGGCACATTATTCGAAAAACCATAAGAGATCTCCTGAAGTGATACAGAAAATGTATAGAAATTGGATGAGGACATTTTGAGAATCTTCGTTGAAGAATATCAGGATACCAGACAATCATAATTGTTTTGTAGTTCTTTCCAAGCATCAAGTCCGCTCCTGAATTTTTTCATTGAATATAACCTCTTCTTAACTCTGCTGCTATATCAATATGCAAAAAAATTGTTAAAGTTCCCGGACGAAATCGAAGAAGCATACATCAGTATTTTGTTTGATATTTTTTTACTGAATCGGTCGAAGTGTGCCGTACAATTGAAAAGCCACACTAGGAGCGTTTTTCCTGATCTTTCTGATTAGAATAATGGTTTTTGAAAAATACGATCCAGAAGGTCCAAATTTTGACATCAAAAGGAAAATTAGTTTCCCAACTCCTGCTCAGCATTTTTTTTCCAAATTAGGCCATCTTGTGGTGTGTCAGTAGAGGTTAGTTGCTGGTGAATTTCAGGAGTTTCTGAAATATCGTTCATTAAAGTTTCGCCCCTGTATTTCTGTTAAGAATAGGCGAGATATATTTCTCCACATATATATCAACTCACCTTAGCCATTCATTAGGCTATGGCTGGTTAGTCATGACCTGACTCACCCTGTAGAGCAATTCGAAACTTAAACTGTGTATTGTTGACTATGAAAATACTGTCATGAAGAAAAGGCATTTTAGGTATTTTTTCCATTGACGTCGAAGATGCTAATACTAACCTGCGTGATGTATTCCGAAACCTTGAGGCACAAGGAAGCCTAAATCACCGTTCTTGAAACCAGATCTGCTTATTTTGACAGATCTTTCGGGCTCGAATAAAGGAAGTGTACCTTTAACTTGCGCAATTTCGATGAGTTTTTTTGCCACGGTAGCTGTTGCATTTCTTGCAGTTACAAAGACCATAGCCTAAAAAAAATATATTTTTTTTCAATGTGGTATGCATATTTTTATTTCATGTAGGACGATGATATTAGACGAAAATGGTCTGAAGCAGTTGGTAAATTCTTGCCACCTGGAGATTTTCAAATATGTTCCAGTCATTTTTCGCCAGAATCCGTGAACATTATGAGGCTGAGAAAAGGATCAGTGCCTTTGAAACAGTAAATATTTATATAGCTATACTAATTACTCAGTTTCCAGATCATCAGTCAATATCATAATTGCCATCTTTAGCAAAGAAAACTGTTCTTTGAATTCCTATCAATCTATACTTAATCTACAAGGTGGGCCAAAAGAAGTCATCCGATGTTGTTTGGCTCTCATTATTTTTCTAAATGAAAAGCTTCGATTCTGCTTTTAGAATTTTATTGGTCTAGTCGAGAAGATCCAAATGGGCGCTTTATGCATTTTTCATCACTTCGGTGAGAACTTCGGGCGACAGATTGTCGCACTCGTGTCGAATGTTGTCCTTGAGGGCTTCCAGGGTCTCGGGCTTGTTCACGTAAACACGGAACTTAAAAAAAACACCAAAAAGGTCTGGAACGGTTAAATCGGGAGATCTTGCGGGACAGTGCATATCGCCAAAACGAGAGATGAGGCGATCCGGGAACGAGGCCTTCAAAATATCGGTTGTGGCTCGCACAGTGTGTGCCGTTGCTCCGTCCTGTTGGAACCACATGCCCTCCAGTCCTAATTCATTCAATTGCGGCAACTGGCCCTATAGCACGCACCGTCCACTGTTGTCGTTTGACCAGCGGCGTCGTCGAAAAAAATGGCCCGATGACTCCTCCAGAGTGAACAGCGCACCATGCAGTCACTGAGCGGGTGTAATGGCTCCTCGTGCATCACTCGCAGATTTTCGGTGCCCCAGAAGCGATAGTTCTGCTTTTCCACGTACCCGCTGAGGTGGAAATGAGCCTCGTCGTTCATTATGATTCTGGTCGAAAAATCGTCCACTTCGTCCACGAGATTGAGGATGGCTTGGCTTGGATTATTCCGCGTTCTTGGGGAGTGTATCGCTCCATGGCTTGTTCACTTGTATTCTACATCTGTCTAGTTCACAAATGTCAAATCAGATTTGACATTGACCGCGATTTGCAAAAATAAGAGCAACTTCCAATAGGGTGATTTCTTTTGGCCCACCTAGTATATCAATTTTTTTTAAATAAAACAATTATATATTTGAAATTCATTGATATGATTATAAAATATGGTTTATGTATAATAGAAATATCTAGACTTTATGTATGAAAATATAAAAATCACGTTCAAAAAATGATTTTATAGTGATATCATGTGCCAACAAAATTCTTACATAACAAACCCTGGTAAGAGCATTCTCAGTACATGTTCAATTCAAAGTCCACACTGATAATAATCTCCTCCAATTGCAACTAAATGAAGAATTTAAAAATATTCAAGGAATCCAAATCAATATCACCCTGTATCTACAATAGAATAGAATACTTTATTTTACCACATTACGTACACTGTACATTTGTAGCAGGTCAAGGAGTTAGAACTATAAAAAAATAGAACTGTAAATAAAATGAAGTTAAAAGACAAACAATAAAAAGTTAAAAGACAAACAATATGAAAATATTGATACAGATTAAAAATAGAGAACAATATGAAAAAAATATAAAATACAGGTACATATCGATAGCGACTTCATCCATATTAATACTCAAGCCAGTAGTTTCTCATGATCAGTCTGAAAATATTCTTCCAGTGAGTAGAAGCAATGTTCCAGGAGATATTGCTTTATTTTATTCTTAAATTTGATGAAACAGAGATTTTTAATTCTATGAGGCAATATATTGTAAATGTTGTAATCCAAGGAGTTTTTCTGAGATACAGTAAGTCTAAACCGAGGATTACGTATCTTCATCGCATGTCTGGTGTCATGGTCATGAATATCACTATGAGTTCTGAGTATGTTAGATTGTTTGTGAACCTCTTGAAGTGTGTTATAGATAAACAAAGTTGGTAATGGCATGATGCCATATGCGATGAATAAGGTTTTACAGTGTTCCCTATAATATGCATTGGCCATTACTCTTATTGCCTTTTTCTGCTGGCGAAATATGATAGGAGCATGAGAAGAGTTTCCCCATAATAAAACGCCATAATTTATATGACTGTGAAATAAAGAAAAGTAGACAGTTTTTAAAGTTACAGAATTTATGATACTCCTGAGTTGTCTGAGGAGAAATATGGCGCTTGACAGTTTTTTCTGTAAAAGCTCAATATGATGGTGCCAATTTAGTTTCTCATCAAGCGTGATCCCTAGTAAATTCACGCTATTACCTTTATGGCAAGAGGGATGCGTTGACATTACAATTTTTTGAGTTTTATTGGTATTTAACTTCAGTTTATTATATTCAAACCACTCCTCAGCTCTTTTTTCGATAATCTCTGTTTCGGTGATGAGATCTTGATAATTACTTCCAGAACAAATAAGTGTAGTGTCGTCAGCAAACAAGACACATTTGGTGGGTTGCATGAACTCAAATATATCATTTATATAAATAATGAACAGTAGTGGCCCGAGGACCGACCCTTGGGGCACACCATGTACGACTGGAAGGTAATCTGAACAAGCGTTGTTAAAACTAACCTTCTGGAAACGAGTTTCTAAATATGATTTAATAAGTGATAAAACTACTCCTCTCAAACCATAGTAGGATAATTTTTCCAGAAGAATATTATGAGAGACACAATCGAAAGCCTTGGTTAGGTCACACAAGGTGATGGCAGTATGATTTCCCATTTCAAGACCCTCGACTATCTCTCTCACAACTTTCATCACAGCCTGTGATGTTGATTTATTCTTGCGAAATCCAAATTGACTATTATTCAGAAAGTTATTGGATTCAAAGTAATTCTGAATTTGATTTTTCAAAAGAATCTCAACAATTTTAGAAAATATGCAGATAATAGAAATTGGCCGAAAATTATCCACTTCGGAAAGATTACCCTTTTTAGGAATTGGAACTACTCTTGAATATTTGAAAATATCAGGAAATTTACCACTACCGAATATGAGATTAATCAAGATGGTCAAAGGATCTACAATAATTTCTAGGGTTTCTATTATTATTCGGCTATCCATGTCATACGCGTCTAGACTATTACTATTATTCAATAATTTAATCGTGTCTAGTACATCCACATTCGTTACTGGTAATAAAAAGAAAGATGATGAAGGGACAGGAAAATGTTTGAAGTTTAGTAGTATGGCATCTCCATAATCTGGTATGGTTTTAATCAGAGTTTCTGCTACACTAACAAAAAAACTATTGAAATCATTTGCAGAAATGTCACAATTGGGGTCACCTTTTTTGTTTGTGTTCCTATTGCATTCAAAGTTTACTAACTTCCAACTAGCTTTTGATGTATTAGATGTAGATAAGATGTATTGATTATATGCTGCTTTTTTAGCATCTTTCAGTTTATTCTGGTAATCTTTTTTCAATGATTTATAAACTGATATGTTTGCTGGGTCCCTAGAAACATCAGCAATCAGTTTAACACTTGAAAGAGTATCTCTCATGTCTTTTAGAGAGTTATTGAACCATATAACTGGGGATTTAGTACGCTTCGTTAAGGTTTTTTTCATTGTAATGCAGGAATTTAGAGAATTACTGTAGGTATCAATTAGAAAGTTAGCAAGCTCGTCAGCATCTTTAGAAGTGTTGAAAATAGACCAATCCAACTCTCCCAAGGACTGTCGCATTTTAAGCATTCCAGATTTCGTAAGACATTTTTTATAAAGAACTTGATTTGGTATTTGTTCTATTGGATCATTTATCAATATGTATTGCCCAAGATGATCAGACAAACAGGGTTCAAGAACTCCTGCTTCCCTGAAATCAATATTCGTGATTATATTATCAATGCAGCTAGAACCCCTTGTTGTTATCCTAGTATAGTCATCAATGGTAATTTTGAGGCCGTAAGAATTCGCTAAAGTTTCTATGTCTCGTAAACTTTTTGTGTTGGAGGCTGATTTGAAATTAATGTTGAAATCCCCAACCAGAATAATTTTATTCTTCCTTGAATAAAAAAAAGATATCAACATTTCTAGTTGCTCTAAGAAAATTTCAATGTCACCTGAACAAGATCTATAAATCGCAATGATAATTATTTTATTTGTAAGCTTTACTCCACAGAACTCAGCGTGAAACTCAACAGTAAATTTACTTAAGTCTAACGGTTTGTGTGAAATACTAGTTTTCAAAAATAAGGCAACACCTCCATGTTCCCTGATTTTCCTACAAAAGGAGCTTGCCAATGTATAACCTGGTATATTCATCGCTGACAGGTCAATTTCACGTTGCCAGTGTTCAGAAAAACAGATTGCATCAAACTTCAACTTATCTAGATACAGTTTATCTGTTCAAGTTTATTTGATATGCATTGAATATTAATATGGAATACACTCACCATGTTGGGGTTACATAAGTTATTACAATTTATATAATTAAAATTTGTGATGTTTCCAATATTCAGATCATCACCCGTTTTTTTCCCGTTCTATATCTTGGCAGTTTCCTTCCTCCGCTGTAGGTATAAAAAACGTTGGACATGTGCGCCGATTGGCCATTTAGACGGATCCATTGCATTTTCATAATTCTTCTTGTAAACATCGACTTTGAAGGACGAATACAACTCTGGATGTTTTGATGATATTTTTTCAGTTTTCACTTCTGGGAAATGAACTTTCATCATATGTGTCAAATCATTGGCAGTTAAGTTTGGGTCCACTCTGAACACATGGAGAGTAGTAAACATAGGCACCCCCATGACTTCTTTGCCATTAACTTTAATGGTTTCATTGTTTCCTACAACAATATTCCTCTTCCTTCTTGGGTTTGATACTAGATTCCACTTTTCAGTATGAATAACTTTTTCTTCATTCTCTTGATTGCGTTTACCCAGTTCAATATAACTGCTGCAGATCTGGTTTGTTTTCGCTTGCAAAATTGCATTTGATACCTGTTTTTCAGAAATTACTGAGCTACCTGTTATTTTAGCTGCAGTGGCAACAGTGTCATTACAGTTTATTTTCGAGGTAGACGGAACACTACCGGTTTTTGTAGCAACCGATTTTTTGTTGTTTATCAGTGGTACATTCTCATTAGGATGTTTTTTTTCATCACTGATTACTTTTTTGCAGTCATGTTGCTGTACTATTTTTTCCTTCTGGATCTGGTTCAATAATTCTATGTGATTATTCAAGATCTTGATTTTATCTTTCAGCTCGCTGATGATGATATCCTTTTGTTTTATAATGTAACTAAAAATATTTACGTCCACTTTCTTCTCGCTATTTATATTTTCCATGGCATCGTAAAAAGCCGTGTCAAGGTCGTCTTCCATTTGTGGTGATGGTACTTTACACGTGCTGCATAAAAACACAAATTTTCCCTTTGTAAGTTCGTCAGTTTCAATTTCAGACAGTCCACTACATTCTCGGTGATACCACTGTTTGCAAGGTCCAGCACAACCTATTTTATAACTAGTTTTTCCAATGTTTTTCGAACATTTGCCACAGACTAATTTACTAGACATCTTTATTCCAAACTAGCAAATAGTTAGTACAGATATGCAGAAGAATCATCATCCCTTTAGGTGATTTATTCGTCTATTCCACTATATACGAATTTTTATTGAATATTTGAATGATTCTTCAAATGAATTACCATTTTATCTCATTAATAAAAGAAGAAAAATTCAGTTATTTTGAGTGAAAATGGTTTGAAATGGAAAATTTAAGCTCCTCTATCTTTCTCTTCAGTGCTTTGATATTGACATAGAGGTCCGACCATTATTTCCTTGTCTACCAGTATCTGCCACTAACTTGCCATAAGTACATTTTCAAAGGCCTGTTTACCTCCACTTTCAGTATAAGGCAAAGTTTTTTGTAAACATTTTTGTACGCTCTGATATTTTGAATTCTTTACAGCATCTATTTTTATAACATTGAGTTGTGTTTACCGTTTCCTAAGCCAATCTGAACGGTAAGTAATTTAACTAACACTTACAGTCAGGCTGCTCTCATTGCTCTGAGATCCAGCAAGATGAATTCCACGCTCAAACGGAGCTGTATTGAAGCCCTAGAGTGCCTGGGTGCTAATAACAGGTACTTCGCTGTGGGTACCCGGACACCAAGGGGTGGAAGGCAACGAGAAAGTCGACATCCTCGCCAAACAGAGAACCGAATCTGTGTTTATAGGACCAGAATCATACTTGGTGTTACAAAAAGTGCGGCCAAAACAACTATTTCAGACTGGACGGAGAGAAAAAGACAGGATTGACTCATTCATAGGCGTTCGTGCCTAGACCATCCTAAAATATAAAGAGGCAGATCCCAGAATGGGACAGGAGCAACCTGCGGATTCTGATAGGACTGCTTACAGGACACTGTCGTCTAAGATACCACTTAGGCAGAATGATTCTTAACCAACAAACAAAGTGTCTTTATTTTTTCTTCCTGGTTTCACTAATTTAGAATCTACTGATTGCAGGTAATTCTCACTTCATTCGATCATAGACCTTGTGAAAGTAAGTGGATTGTACAGTGAACTATAACCTCTGGGGGTGAGCAACAGTAGACTCATCTGGAGTCGCTGTGTAGGGTCAGCATTTACCCCACCCAAATGGAATCTAACCTACTGTTCAGCGAACGGTAAGTGGATTCATATAATATTTAGATGAATATATACTCTTCCAAGTCATACATTATTTTTTCTACAACAAACTTTCCGTGGACAATCTCATTTGATTTATGTGAAGCTCCTAATTCGTTCCTCTTCACCCATGTCATGAAAGACTCTTCTACAGATATATCTTCTCAGATTTATCTGGCAGCAGATGAAGCATTGCGGTTTTTGCACTATCCACGATCTCCGCTGGTGTAGTGTTTCAATCTTCATGGCATTCCAGCCGTTACTCAATTATTTTTATTTTGCAATTATCAAGAATTACTTATTTATACAGATTTCAAAAAAACGACTTCATATACTTTCCATGCCACTAATTATTAATGACATCTGGTTTCTATGAATGAAAACGCCACTGCCAACTTGGGCTAATTTGAATGAAATTGCTCCAATCTCGCTGAATCCATAACACATGAGCATTTATTTCATCGTCTCGCAACAACCGTGAACAAAGTGCACTTTTTTCACACTTTGGCATAGAATGATAAATAGTTATTTCTGTATCTAGAGCGCAAAATGCTTCTTTGACGCCTCGTTAAAAAAATAGTTGAGTTTACCAAAGTATTTCGCGCTCGAGTTGCAAACAAATTTTTTTCTACAAACGTCAAAAAATATAGTTCTAAAGTAAAAATATGCTCAGCTTGATATAAAAAATAGCGTTGAACTGGCTTAAAAGTCCCCCCCCCCCCCTATCCTCCCTAGGTACGCACGATGTTCCACGAACATAATAGGAATTTCCTTTCGTGCGCTCCAAGAGATAAAACAAAGTTATTGTTGAACATTCAGAAATAAAAGATTTCATGGATGTTTGCTCGATTGAGGACCATAAAGTTGAAATCTAAATATCTCATATATTTTACACAACAATGCGGGAAGTAGGTACTTCGCGCACTGTTTCACTTCGCGCATTGTTTTGCGCAAGGTATCATGGTAAAGTAGGAAACTGAAAAAAAGTGTCACTTCGCAATTTGTTATCAATGCGCGAACATTGTCATTTTTTGACGTTCGTAGAAAAACAGTATTTTGTATTGAAATATTACAAACTTTAGGCACTGGCACACAAAATATGTCATAGAAAAATCAATATTTTCCGAACTTGTTACATTATTTACTATTTTTGCCCATACCGTATTGGAAAATAAAACTCACCTGATGGCCTTCTCTGATAAAACCGACAATTTTCTCATAGCACACCATATCCATGGTCTCGTTCTCGTTCTTCTTCTTGCATCCGACGAAAGTCGTAGTCAGCGGCACGGACCTGAACCGATTATCGAAGAAGAACAAGCCGGTCGGCGGGTGGACCTTGAGGAAAGTCGCCACGTCTAGGTAACCCGGCAACGTCGCAGAAAGCGCCACGATTCGGATCATGCTCTGGCTGCTGACCACTTGACGTAGGGTTCTCGCTACGAGAGCCTCTATCACCGGCCCACGGCTGCCGTTCAGCAGGTGCACCTCGTCTATGATGAGGAGTTTCACCAGGCCGACGACTTCGGTATCGACTAAGAAATGACAATAATACATCTGACATCTGATACATATGAATGAAGGGCTTAATGTGAAACAATGAAAAGCCTCAGAAAGGTGAAAATGAGATATTTCACTTTGAATGTTGACAAATAGTTATTCATTATACAAGGTGTTTGAAATTCACTGTTTTTACCTTATCAAGTTTACGTTATTTTATGAACATAATATTTCTTTTTTTTTAACTAGGGAGTTACTTAAACATTAATATGTTTTTTTTGTACCTTATGACGGATGGGAAAATATTGTCTATCTCATATTCATAGTTTAAATTTCGCGTATGAAAATGCACGATAATCCTTAAGCGTCTGCGCGAGCGTCCTTGATATATCAAGGATGCGCATTGGAAGAGTCGAAAAAGAGAGGGCTTGAACACCGCATGATATAGTTTGACCGGTACAAGTTTTCCGACAATAATACATAATTCGCGATAAAACGAGTGAAAAGGATCACTGATTGATCCTGTGATCCCTGGGCGCCCTTCAGCATCAATTTCAAGTACCAGCAAGTGCCTACCAGCCTGCCAGACTGCTTCGACCATCATCCAGATCCACGAGGTAAGACGCCAAGGTGAATCGTGCTCCGATTTATTTAAATTAATGATTAGCCAATTTTGAACTAGCGAATATCCTATTTTGGACTCAACTGTCCGAAACATTGGTCCTTCGAGTCGGATCGTTATTTAAATATTTAGAGAGATACTATTTTCCTGTCAGTCTTATTATCATTCGCCATCTTGGTATTCATTTCAATTGATAACGTAAAGTTGCTAGGTACTTCTTTATCATTCTTCTAAGTTCACACACAACGCATCTGCGCATGTCCGTATTTTGGTATCCGCCAGCGCGCTCATCGTCCTCCGCCTCCACCCCGCTAACCCGCGTTTATCACTGCTCACTGGTTTATATTCCTGCTGAAATTTCCTGAAAATTTTTTTGTTAGCACAATTCTTCGAGTGCTGAGAATAAACTTTTCACAGGGCCGCACTTAGGTACATCCCGTACATCGAACAAATTCAAGACGTGGCCTTTACCGCACATTCAGAAGTTTACTTCAGAATAACTATTTGAAATTCTTTCCTTTCGCAATGGCATCTTCGGCTGATAAAATAAAAAGGGCAAAAGGTCAGGTTACGATTCGAAATGATCGAAAAAATCTGTGAAAATTTTGAGAAACAGCATAATAGTATTATAACTCTTATTAGCAGGCAAGAAAATGATGATATAACCGCAGAAGAAGCCATCCGCACCGCATTTGATGATAAATATTTTTCTATAAAAACAATTCATCACGATCTGTTTGAACGTGACTCTAATTTGTCTATCAAAACCGAAAGTACCAATTTACCGAGGCCTAAGTTACCGGAACTCAAATTGGCGAAATTCAGTGGGGACGTTCGTAGTTTTACGTCGTTCATCGAAGTGTACGATGTCATAATACATAATAATGATCAGATTTCGGACATAGAGAAGTTCTCACATTTGCTAGCATCTTTGGAAGGCCCTCCAAAAAGTCTTATTTCCTGTTATCCGCTTTCTGCCACGAATTATCCCTTAGCATATAATGCACTGATTAAGAGATATTCCAATAAAAGAATATTAGCCACCGCTCATTGGAATGAAATTGTGAACGCCCCACATATTAGTAATGAAAATCCCGCATCGTTACGTAAATTATTGGATACTTTTGTAGAAAATCTGGCGGCACTTGGAAATTTGCTCTATCCTGTCAAACAATGGGATTTTGTTATCACCCAGATACTGTTAAAAAAGATAGATTCCGCAACTTTATCAAGATTCGAGCTTGCTCATGGTTCAAACGACATGCCGACATTTTCTGACTTGAAAGATTTTATCACAAAGCAATGTATAGCCTACGAAACTTTGTCTTCAACTCAGTCTACTCGGAATAAAGCTAGAACTCCGCCATCGAATTCAGGTTATAATAATCAACATAGTTCCGCACATAATTCCGCTCATAACTATAGATCGAGTTCCTCTTTTTTTGCCAACAATTCAAGAGCCAATAATAACAGTAACAATCGACCCTGTGCATGCTGCAACTCAAATGATCATTTGATTTACAGGTGTTCAGTTTTTCAGAATAAAACTCCACACGAACGCTTTAACTTTGTGAAGCAACATAAATTATGTCACAATTGTCTTAGCAATTCTCATTCACTCAGATCATGTCAATCGAATTCAACGTGCATCCAATGCAATTCACGAACTCATCATTCGTCGTTGCATATGCCGCGCAGTAGCGGAACGTCTTATCATCATCAGACTGCCCCGAATATTTCCGATAATGTTCAACAAGAGAATAATCCTCGTAATGTTTCCCAACAAAATTCTACAGCAAACGTGCCATTCACGAATTGCGCTCTGTCCATGCGACCTAAGTCCGACTCTGTCCCGTATATCGGTGATTCATTTTCAGGTGATAAAATTTCTGCAAAAAAGGTGTTATTGTCGACCGTTCAACTACGAATCCAAGATAGCTTAGGGAATTTCCAACGCGCTCGAGCTATTTTGGACTCCGGTAGTGAGGCTTGTTACATTCGCAAAAAATGCATACAGCGTTTGAATTTACCAGTACAAAAGATCGCAATAAATATAAATGGACTGGGAGGAATGAATACATCGTCCAAAGCTGGAACAGTGATTTGCACTATCGAACCGCTACACCAAAAAAATATTTCTTATAGTTTTGAGGCAATTATTTTAGATGATATATGTTCGCATTTACCTGTTTGTAGTTTCGATATTAATTCTTGGGATCACATTGTGAATTTGAATCTCGCAGACCCTGATTTTAATGTATCAGATGTGATTGATATTTTGTTAGGGGCAAGCATTTTTGAAAAGATTTTATTATCAGAGAGAGTAGTTTCAAAGAATCCAAATTTACCCACCACGATAAATACTAAGTTCGGATATATTTTCATGGGTGATATAATGGTCCCTGAAAATTCTACTATAATCAATTCCTTTTTGAAATTAAATCAATCCAGCTCTCTCGAAGATACAATACGAAAATTTTGGACTCTTGAAGAAATTCCTGAAAGGAAATTAATCTCATCGGAGGATGAAATCTGTGAGCAAAATTTTAACAATACAACCTATCGAACCGATTCCGGCAGGTACGTAGTCTCGCTACCATTCCGCAATGAAATCCCGCATTTTGAAAATTCGAAGTTAACCGCGATACGCCGCTTTTTTAGTTTGGAATGACGACTCATGAGTAACTCCGCGCTACGAAGTGAATACGTTAAATTCATGACAGAATATTTAGATAGTGGTCACATGAACCGTTCTCCTAGTTCGAGGAATGATGATTTCTTTTTACCGCACCATTGCGTAATAAAACCTCAAGCTTTGACTACTCAACTTCGGGTGGTATTTGATGCCTCCGCTAAGGATTCAAATAACCGTTCATTGAATGATTCTTTATTTATCGGCCCAAAATTACAATTAGATATTGTCACTATTTTGTTAAACTTCCGCCTCTTTCCGGTAGCAATGAGTGCTGACATTCGAGCCATGTACCGACAAATTTTAATTGATCCAAGTCATCAGCGGTTTCAAAAAATTGTTTGGCGAGTTTCTCCGGATGATCCTCTGCAGGAATATGAGTTGAACACGGTTACTTTCGGTGTTAACTGTGCACCTTTTCTTGCATTAAGAACCCTGGTACAGTTAGTTAGAGATGAGGGCGCTAATTTTCCTTTAGCTTCGCAAGCGCTTTTAACTTGTACATATATCGACGATATTGTTGTTTCATGTCCTACGGTGGACCAAGCGCTCAGGTTGCAAAATGACTTGATTTCTTTATTAGAAAGAGGAGGATTTGACTTACGTAAGTGGGCGAGTAACAAACGAGAGTTGCTGTGTCATTTGCCAAGTAATTCTATTAAAGAGAAATCTCTAGCTTTGGACCTAGACTCCACAGATACTATTAAAATTCTTGGTTTGAAGTGGAATCCAACATCCGATAATTTTTCGTATTCTGTTTGTTCCAATGATAAGTCTTGCACAAAACGAAACATGTTGTCAGAGCTTTGCCGCATTTACGATCCTCTTGGATTTTTAACTCCTATTACACTCATTGCAAAGATTTTAATCCAAGACTTATGGAAATTAAGATTAAATTGGGACGAGATTCCGCCTAAGAAAATTTTGTCACGATGGCAACAGTACAAAAATCAATTATCGGTTTTATCTACTTTAGAGATACCGCGCTGTATTTTTTCGGATGATGCTAACTACGTTGATTTGTGTGGTTTCTGTGATGGTTCGTTGAAAGCATATGCAGCTTGTATTTATATCCGTATAGTCAGAAATAACCGCGTAACTTCGTTTTTAGTTATTGCCAAATCGAAGGTAACACCCTTAAAAAATCTATCTATCCCGCGTATTGAACTCTGTGGTGCTTTGCTCCTATCTAAACTGATGAAGTTTGTTATTGATATTTATTCTGAAAAGCTAACCTTCAAGAATATTTTTGCGTTCACTGATAGCCAAGCCGTGCTATGGTGGGTGACGTCGTCGGCCCATAAGTGGACACCTTTCGTGGGTAATCGAATTTCAGTTTTACAAGAGAATTTACCTAGAGCCTCCTGGCGTTATGTGCCATCAGAAAAGAATGCTGCCGATTGCGCCTCGCGTGGTATTTTTCCAAATGATATAATTCATTTATCCGAATAGTGGGTAGGACCTTCATTCTTACATTTACCCTATGATGAATGGCCTTGCCTGCAACTTTCAAAACTACCTTCAGACAACCTCATTCAGGCTGAAGAAAGAAAGATTGCCCTCTCTTCTTTCAAAGATGATAATATTCTTGATTATTTGCTGAATAAATTTTCTTCACTCGATAAAATAAAATCAATCACCGCTTACATTATACGCTTCATTAGTAATTGTAAAACCACTCATGGTGCTAGAGATAGCACTCGTCTGTCTGCAGACGACTT